CAAAACTGAGCAATAAAAACAACTGCACGGATCAAGTAATTAAGTTTATTGAACAATTAGAATAACTTCAATGGAACATTCCAGTCTGCAGGCATCCCACCAAATTATACCAAACCGCACGGCATTTTACCTCACCATAACACACCACACCACACCGCACCACAACACACCACAACCCACCACACCCCACAAAAAACTTTACAAATCAATATTTGCATCTAAGGAATATATACACTTATAAAAATTAGTAAATACCCAACCAAATACCAAAATACACAGATATACAAGAACGTATATATACACATATGGCGGGTACTAAATAGCAAAAAATTTATTAAAAAATTTCCTCAACTACTAAAAAACAATTGCGCCTTTCTGTTACTTCTCAGGGAAGATGAACATTTAAAATCACAAGTTGTTATAAGATTTTGATTGATTTATATTGAAAAATTGTAAAAAAGGCTCTTCTGAGTAAATGTATCAAATTAAATTATCAGGTTGGTCTCATCCTTATGGTGTAACTGAATCGATTATAGGTTGATTAAGTTTATTTGTGGCAGATGCAACCGATGAAGATGCTATTGACATTTACTATAATTTACTGTTACTACTGCTACTGCAGTCACCACTGCTACTGCTGCTGCTGCAACTACTGCTGCTGCTACTGCTTCCGTTACTACTAACCCAGTAGCACCATTGAAGGAAGCATCGAGACAACCAACGCATAAAATTACCATAAAAAATAATTTACGATGACAAATATTATAGATTTCAAATCTGTTACTCCACCTTCAAACGTACATAAAAACACACACATAAAAACAAACTCACACACACGCACACGCACAAACACAATTAGACTAACAGACAAATGCACACATAAACAAAATTTCAAAGAGTCGCACGCAGAAAAACAGAATCTCTACACTGCATTCGTTCCTTACGGACACTCATCTAATGCTTCACGCACACGCACACCACACACGCATACACAATACACATACACACAAACATATACACACACACAATCATATAGACACATTTATACACACACACACAGGCATTTTATATACACGTGCATTCACATAGACATACACATACATATATAAATGCATTTTTACACACACACACACACACACACACACACACACACACACATGTGTGGGTGAGTGCGTGCGTATTAGCAGATCCATACTTGAAGTCACACGCCAGCCAGCCTTTGCAGTTAAAAATTCATAAAAATAGAGCAGATAAAACAAAAATAAAAACCAATGCAAAAATGTCTACCTCACACGTACATATCAAATCACGCACAAGCGCACACGCACACACCTACATATGAAAAGCGTACAAAAACACAAAGGCACATATATTGATTGACACATACAAGAATCACTCATTCAACAATTGATCAAAACATCCTTTACACTCACAGACATATTCAGACACACACGTACGCACACATATAAACACGAACACACAATTGTTTACACACAATCATACGTAGCGCATATATCTAAATACATAAGCTTTATATAAACACAAACATACACGCGCGCGCGCACACATATATATTGAAGCACACATACACTCAAAAAATATAAACAAACTTACAGATATACATACACATAAACAAAAATATAAACAAATATACACATATACATACACATAAACAAAAATATAAACAAACAAACGTAGCGATACACAGGCAGATAGAGAGACAAATACAGAAAGGCAAAGGACAACGTTATTCATGGAAAACTTGGAGTGCCTCAAGCAAAAAAGAGCGCCTCAATTTTCTCATAGATCTTCAGGCAATACATTTATGACTATGCATATATGCGTGTATGTGACTGTGTATGTGTGTGTATCTGTCTGTGTGTGTGTCTGTCTGTATGTGTGTGCTTGCAATTTGTTTGTTTGCATATGTTTGTGCGTTATTACACATCTGTTTGTTTGTGTGATTGTGTGTTTGTTTGTATTTTTGTTTGTATTGTAAGCTGCGAAGATTAAACATTTTGAATCATATATACAATTATAAGAATAATTTTGTTTGAACATGCATTGCATCGAGCTTACATGGAAAAACTTTCAAAACAAAAAGGATCAACTGAAGGATATACACCCAAACATGAGAACAAACACACACACACACACAAATTGATGTGTTTCACACTGTGAAACACATAAACATGTAGAGACAGATCAGCTTGCTCACTTCGTATATTCATGTACAAATGCGCAACTATTGAATAGTTGATTTATGCATGTACAAATACAAGCACACATCTACAAACGTGTTTGTGTACAACACGGAAACGAAATTGTATTTGCTCTCCAAGGTTACGCACATTAAACCCACACACATAAACATGAGAAATCTTACAAATGTATGTAAAGTCTCAAGAGTGTGTGTATGTGAAATTTCATTCTATGTATATATATAACATCTTTCAAAATACGTACTCTTACCGTGTGGAGAATGATGAATGCGGGCAAACATTACGTATCCACATCACAATGATTCATCTACATACACAAAATCGCAATATTATACAATAATTAAATCTATGCTAAAACAACCGTCGTTATGCACACATGTGAAATCTACTTCACATATATGAAAGGCACACACATAGACACCTACAAACACACAGAGAGTGACAGACAGACACACACACACACACACACACATACACACACACGTTAACGTAAACACATAAGCAAATACGTAGAAAAATATTTATTAAAATCATCGACTCGAACATAATTATTTGCAGGCCTTCGTGATGGAAACACACACACACACACACAGACGGACAGACACACACAGGCATAATTAACTGCACAGTCGCATGTTCAAACATCCCACCAGAAACACAAACACACAACCATACAGAAATAAACACATAAACACGCCTGTATCACAACACACTACGCAAACACACGCGCGCACACGTAAACACACACACAAACAAACGTTCACACGCAAAATGCTTGCTCAACAAGACAAAAAAGCACACAAAAACACACGTATTTTTGCCCATTGCACACACAAACGTACATAGACACGACATACACATATACAGACCCATACACACACATACACACACACACACGTACATACAAACACACGCACACACACAGACGAATGAAAGTGCAGTAGGCTGGTTATTTTTGAAGGGCTGGAGGCAGGCGGGAGGACTTAAGTGCACCTCGCAACTCTACAACGTTAAACTTCAAGTACAAAAAAAATAATACACCTAAGGAAACATTTTTAAACGTTAATATAAAACATTTATGCATTATAATATGTGTGTGCACGTTTGTGTGTGTGCGTATATGTGTGTACGTTTGTGAGGCAATCTGTGTTTGTGTGTGCGTGATGAAACAATTAACAAACTGTATCAATATTAGCCGACAGAATGATATTAAATTGGAAGAATTAGTTACTAATAAATGGAAGGGTATAAAAATACATGCAAGAATAATTAACATAATTAACTGAATGAATAAATTAATAAATAAACACATAGATAAGAACGTTTCCATTGCAATACAGTCTCACAAATCCTAACCCACAAGAGACCACTGATACGAACAGATAACAAATCTACAGGACCCCACCCAACCTGCTGATGAGGAATTAGACGGAAACTTTGAATAATATTTTTACAAGACTATTTCCGCCGTCTGTCTCACCAGCAAGTATCAGTACTATTTTAAAGAGGCTTGCAACGGCCTCGCGATTGTGCAACCATTAAGTACTGTTATAGCACTGTTATTGCAGCAACCGGATTCGATCGCAGAGATCCCCGTCCACCACATGCAACGTGTCACGCACTCTTCCACGTGTTGTATTGAAAATATTGGATTGGGAAAGAATTGTAATAAATGAATAAATAAATATTTGCGTATTTCCGTATGAATATGCGCAAACATTTTTGAACCTATATCTACGGTTAATCGTTTATTTCCCTAATTCGCTCACTCATTTATCTACTCGTGTACGTGCACTTCAGCTTTTGCGCGTGCATTTCTATGTGTGCGTGTTTGTACGTGAATCTTGGCGTGTTCAAGTGACTAGGCTTTTGTAGCCTAAGGCAACACAAGTCGTTTAAAGTTGAGCTTTTCAAGATTTGAAAAAATATTTTATTTCATTTTTATATTCACCGTAATCTTTTTTTAAATTTATTATTACTTCGATTACCTGTTACAAGGATTTAAAAAAACGTATGAGAAAGTTAATTAATTCGAAATTAAATTAAAAATTTAAAGAACTAATATGGCTTTGTCATTTGAAATGCTGGCAAGCTTTAGCAGAGAAAAACGAACGCAGTTATAAATAAATACCTATTCTCTTACAAACACACGTAACCGATGGACACATTCACACACACATATGCACACATTCATACACGCAGACACACATTCATACACACACACGCTCATGCAAACAGACAGAAATTCACACACGCACAAAAATGCACATAATCAACATTACACAAATTTATTAATGAAAAAATGTAGTGAAAATGAAACTGCAATTAATAGCAAAACAGCTAACTGAAAACGAACGTTGTAAACATGCAGATACGTTAAGAACATGTAAGCACTTTACAAGCAGGCAAAGACGTTATGACCAAGTAAGCACATATAGGAAAGAGTATATTTTGATAACATTTCAAATATTTTTGCTACTTCTGCCGAGTTTATAATGGTTCTTATGATAGGATACCGGTGCGAAATACGATGATCTACCGGTATTAATTAAAATTATCATCCAGCAAGCGTGAATTTATAACTGGAGAAAATCAATCACAATTTATGAACGTGTCTGTTACAAGCAGAAGAGAGTATGAACATTGTCAGTAGGTCAGCATGTAACGTCAATATAGAATGTGTCTAACGCGAACACACACACCACATACCACACACACACACACACACGCACACTAACAATAATATCATGAAAAATTAGAGTAGTGAAAAGTTTTATATTATTGTAGATTGCATCTCTGAATGAACTTGTCAATGATGGCCGATCGACTTGTGTTAGTCCTGTTTAATGGAAATGTAATAAAAAATAATTATTAAAATGTTATCAACTGTTTCAAAAGATTAATTGAGTTATAAACTGATCAAGCGATTTACAAGGGATCTTTCAGTTTTACTAACGATTCAAATAAATAATCAATGAAACAAAATGATTAACAAACAATTTGACCATAAAGTTGATTAATCATTCGAATGACAGATTAAGAATCCAAATTAACTAATTAAATTCACTTATCACTCAAATCAATCATCTAATTATCCAATTATCTAAAATCCACGAATTAACTGTAAATAAATAACCAACCATCTATCAAACTATTCAAGAAGCACACCACTCACTAGTAATAGAAGAATAGAATATAAACGACAGTACAGTTTAAAAAATATTGATTGGCATCGTATGTAATAGGAAAGATTAATCGATTAATAGATCAATCAATCAATCCATCAATCAATTAATCAATCAATCAATCAATTAATCAATCATCAGTCAATCAATCATCAGTCAATCAATTGCATGCAATGGAAAGGAACAAGCAGCAGATGAATACTACCAGTGCAGTAGTGAAGCCAGAAACTTTTTTTTGAGGGGCATAATTAAACTAAAAAAAGTTGACAACCTCATCTTTTGGTACTTTTATCTATTAAACAAACATTTATGTCCAGAAATTAACAGAATTTTAGCATGGGTGGTGGGTGAGAACAGTTTCAGTCGCAAAGTTCCACATCAGCTACTCCCCTAAATCCTACCCACCTGGACCTTTGAATCTGATCTAATAACTTCTGGAGGTCCTGCGGCTCTTTCTCTTTCTTGAAGACCTCAAAACTGGCTGTTAACTGGCGCCGAAATGAAGACGTATGAATATTAATTAGTAATTATATATCCGGTAACAATATTTTATAATAATTTCAAATATTATTATATTATAAGATTATAAAGAAAGTTTAGAATAACTTATCAATGTTTAAAAATATTTCATTATTAAGTAATTATTACCAGTCAACATATCAAAAGGTATATTTATATTTCGACAGCCATATGCAAAGCCATCTTAGCAGTTGACATCAGCGCAACCGAAATTCAACAGTCAATCAATCACTTTCCTTTCAAAATAAAAAGATTAAAAACTCCCAAAACATCCTACAAACAACCAATCATCAACCAGCCATCAACCACAAATCATCTAACAACCAATCAGAAAAAGTCACTATTAACCAATCAACGAACGAACCAGGGAGACAGCGCACTCGACTTCTTCGTCACTGGCCTCCTCTCTGAAACAGGTGAGCATGGCTTCGAAGCAGTTGTCGACAAGAGCCTTAATGAAGCAGACACCACCAGGCACGGGAAGAAGTATTTTGCAGGTACTGTGTGTTAACATGGAGACACAACCAAGCCAGACGTTCAACTGCTTAAAGTTCTTTTCTGGAGTTTTTTAAGTTATTTGTTTTTTTTCAGTTGTTTTTAATAAATAAATTAAAACATTATTAGTTTTTTAAAAGTTTATCTACAAAAAAATTTAAAAAAATGAAAAGAAATTCATACAAATCATTACCTAAATAAACTTTCCTAAGTCTAGTCAGAAAATCATTCCTGTATCGTTCGCCATCCTGAACATTCTTGATGAGCCAGACAATGAGGTCAACAGCCACGCTTGAAAACGACTTGTCAGCAAGCGACTTGTTGAATAAATCTTCAACGAATGCGTCCAACACTTCGGGCTCGTTCCTATTTTCCTCGAGGATGAATTGAATGACGGGTATCTCGTACTCCTTGCCATTCATCGAGAAACAGTTGATGATGTTGTGCAGTATCAAACTAGGAGGGACATCTACATCCTATAGTCAAGAGGATGATAAATTAATTATAATAATTATAAAATATAATAATTAATAATAGTAGCTTTTATTATATTATAATTATACAATTATTATATATATATTATATATAATTATACTATAACCACTTAAATTATAATATAATTTAATTATATTACAACATTTATTCATTAATGACTCATACTCTGTCTATCTATACTATGAGTTATAAAATAATAAAGAAAAGTGATAAATAACCTATTAAGTCTTAAGCTAATTACAATAATATAAATCTTCTACCTAAGGTTTACGCTCAAACATGTATGATCCATAAATTTTTTAATGAATTTGAAATTTTATTAATAACAGATTAAATAAATATTGAACAAAATTATTAATATATCAAAAAAGTTAAACAGTTTTAAATGATTAACTAGATAAAAACTAACTATTTAAATAAAAATCTTGAAAAATTGAAATCTAAAATAATTCACCTGATCATTATCATTGGCAGTTTTAAGAAAAACATTACCAGGAGAAGACATTTTTACCTTTTTTTTAATTTAGTTATTTATTAGTTAAAGTGTTAACTATTACATAAAAAGACTAAGTGAAAAATTAATTTAATTTAAATAATTTTAATTCAATTTTTTAATTATATAAAATTTTAATTTTCTAAAAGACAAGTGCAGTAAGTAGAGTGGCCAGAGGTAGAGTAGACAGACAGACACTGTTAAAAATACTGGTGAATGATTTTCCATATAATTTTTATTAATTTAATTTGCTAATGGTAAAAAATTCAAAAATTTTAAATCATGCATTTTTTTTCAAAAGGGAAAATTTTTTTTAAATTCTCCGGCGAAACGAAATCAACCGCACCGCCATAAAACTTTTTAAAATATGTGTAAAAGTTAATTCCATTTAATATTTGAACCAATGTCTCAAAATATTTTTACAATCGATTTCATATTTAATATATTTAATCTATTAATTAAATCAAATAAATCAATTATAATTATTAAATTGTTTGCGCATAAGATATTTTAAAATAAAATATAGTTTAATTTTTTAGAAATTTATTAATAACAATTTGAAAAAGTTAATTAATTGAATAAATTTTTGAAATATGAATGCTTGACAAGGGAAAGTTACTAAGATATGAACAATTCTTGGTGTTTGTATTTGAGGTCTAAGAATTAATAAGGATGACAAAAATATCATAAACAATTAAGCTTAATAATTATTATTAGAATAATAATTAATTATAATGCTAGTGTGACATTTAATAGTGTATTTAAATTACGAACATATAGGTAATATGCAAAGCTATGTTACACTAACAACTAAGTGTGTTTTTTTGTTAAGAGATACAATATTTTAAAATCAGAGATTATTATCTACCATTAAATAATGCAATTAAATATAAATTAATAGATATTATAAATAAATTAATATTAAATACAAACACATAAGCACACACACACACACACACAACCACACCTACCAATATCCAAATTTACCTTCCTCTAAATCAGTGATGGCCTCAGCAAGGTTACAAGATCGTTGTTATAAAATTGTGTAAAATATTTTTAGAACGTAAACTCCATCCATCTGCCTCGGACAGTCTGATGAATAACGTTCCTGTTAGCCTGATGACGGCACGTTTTCTCGGTGGTTTTGAAATTAGGATGGTTTCTTGTTTTTTGCTTCTGAACAGGTGAGCTCTCTCCTATTTTCTAAAATCCCCGACTTACGATCGTCTTCTTGTTTTCACTTCTTAGCTAGCGTTAAAAACTCTTTTGCTAAATCTGCGTTTGCTTTTTCTGGCCCTTTTCTCTGGAACTCTCTACCTCCTCTGACTACTTCTTTATCATCTACGAAGTTCAGAGCGGATCGCAAGACCCATCTGTTTGCAAAATTCACTGAGAAGCGCTGTTGAACATCGTGGAAACAGCGCTTTACAAACTAAGTGATTGATTGATTGATTGTACTTGAAAGTTAGAATTGTTTTTTTGCTCGCAGAGCCTAACCTTCAAGTGCTGCCAGTAAGACTTGTTTTCCCACAAACACAAAACGCATGCCGATTCATTCCAGTCCGGCAAAATAGAGCCTCATACAACTTAGTATATGAATGGCCGTGAATTTGTTGCATCTGAATCTGATCACACCAGCGCATGGGCCTAGAAATGGGACTTCTGCCTCAGCTCGGACGTCAGCTCGCCTCACATTAATCAAGATCTTCTCCACTGATCGCTGTCGGTTGACGCCAAGGGTAAAAAGTTTTAAAAATAAATGCATGTATGTGTTTATATATGCGTGTGTTTGTATGCGTGTGTGAATGTTTGTGTCGTTTTATGTATGTATGTGTTTGTTTGCGTTCGTGTATCATACACATTCTGGAAATGTTCGTACGTTCAATGGATAACTAGTTGCGTTAAACATCACTAGCATCACAATTTAGAAATTATCAAGCTTTGTATAGAGATAGATGGATAAATAAATAAATAGATATAGATAGATATAATATCAAAACATATGTAAATAAATAAATAGATATAGATATAATATCAAAACATTTGTTAATGATGAATAAATAAATAAATATTTAAATATATTTATATAAATGTTTGTCAATGTTGAACATCCACATTGTATTCACACCTTGCAACTGAGTTAATGTGATCACTATTCATTATCTTTGTCATGATAACAATGCTAATGGTGATGCTGGTGAAAATATTTTGTGGTAATAATGCCATGATAACAACATTGGAGATGATGATAGGATGATGATGACAACAATATTGGTGATGGTAATGTTGGTGATAATAATATAATGATAACGAAAATTGTATGTGATGATGGCTGGTTTGTTTAGCGTCGTTTATTTAAATTAACACGACCAGTTATGACAGCAACAAATAAACAGTTGAATATAGGTATAAATTTATAGGTACCAATAGGTACCAAGCTGTGATTAACTTAATTTATGAATTAAATGTTGAAAAATATATTTATTTAAGCGGCAATAACGAACGTAATATCAAAGTGTGAATAAAATTTGTTGGCTGTTTTAATGAAGATACCGCTAGCAATAACAATAATTAAAACATCAATAATAATAACAACATTAACAACAATAAGATTGTTAACTTCTTATCATAAATAAAATTGTGTTTACAAATTTCATTTAAAAAAACCACGCACACACAGACAAACTTACACACACACACACACACCACACACACACACGCACACACACACACACACACACAACTCACACACAAACACACACATTCAAGTAATATTATGCCAGTAGGTGATGTTTTCAAGTGGTTTCGTCATCACTTCATTCCAGTGTTCCAGTTCCTTACCGCGTGCAAACATGTAGGGCCCGATGACGACTCTTCCAACCATTTTATCTGCGGAGACATAATTAAGGGTTAGGACTATTAAAATTGATTAAAAGGTTAGAGATTAAAAGGTTAAAGGTCAATATTTTTTCTTATTTTTTCTTCAGAGGTTTCAACGACAAACACACACAGCGTATATGAATGAATAAGCGTGTAAACCACGCATTACACACATCGCATATGATAGGCGGGGATCTCTCGGCGATCGAATCCAGTCGTCGCAACAGTAGGACCAGGCGCCCTTAACCATTAAGCTATCACGCCACTTTTATTGGTATTTTTATTTTACCACTTCTACTGTTATTATTGCTATTATATTTTATACAAAATAAATTATTTTTATGTGATGGTTTAGAAAATTGATTCTGCTGAGATGTGCTTTTTGAGAAGGAGAAGAAGAAAAAGAAGAAAAAGAAGAAAAAAAGAAGAAGAAGAAGAAGAAAAAGAAGAATGTTTGAAGAAGGTGTTTGCATGTTGTGTTAGCATCAACAACATTTGTGAAACTGCGTAACTGATTGATGACCGTATTAAAATTAAAGTAGCTAATTTTACGATCTTTCATTCTTTCTTTATTTATTTTTTGTTCATTTTGAAATGAATAAATAAATAATTATTTGCAATTGTATTAAAAATAACAACAATTATGATAATGTGATAATAATAATAATAATAACAATAATAATAATAATATGCTTTAAGGTCAAGTTTGTTGTATGCACTTAGGTGATCAGTTTATGTTGAAAATTTGAATAATAATTGAGATTAAATGAAAGTACGTGTGTGTGCGCGTGTGTGCGCATGTGTGTGCGTGTTTGTGTGTTTAAGTACGTAAGTGCCTTTTGAGGTCATTTGAAATGGCAGTGCGTGGGTTTGGTGACATACCATCATCTGTCGTTGTATGTTGCTTGGTTGATGATTGTTGTTGGGTAGTTGGCTTGTTGTTGTTGATTATTTGTTTGTTTGTTTGTTGGCTGTGAAGGATTGTGTTCGTGTCTTGATCAGTTTTGATTCATTTTTTTTAGTAAATTTGTTGATTAGACAGTCAGTTCAAAATGCCGGTTGTCCGACTGAATGACTGCGTCAAGGATTTGTCTTGTTTAAAGTTGATTGTTTCATTGATAGATTAATCGATTGATTGATTGAATGATTGAATGATTGATTGATTGATTGATCGATTGATCGATTGTCCGATTGATCGATTGATTGATTGATTGATAGTCTGATTGATTGTCTGATTGATTGTCTGATTGATTGTCTGATTGATTGATTATGGTTGGTTCATTGTGATTGGTGATTGGTTCACTGTTATTGATTAATTGTGATTGGTTCATTTTGAGTGATTGTAATTGTTTCATTGTGATTGTGATTGATTGATTGATTGATTGGTTGATTGTGATTGATTGATTGGGATTAGTTGATTTTGATTGGTTGATTGTGATTGATTGATTGTGATTGGTTCGATGTGAGTGTGGGAGGAAGGTTCAATCTCGCGTGATTCGCCGCTCGATCAAATAAAATAAATTCTAATTATTTATTGCAAAGTCCTTTAAAGTACCTGAGAGAGCAAAAGAGAGAGAAAGAAAAAGAGAGAGAGAGAAAGTAGAGTAAGAGGAAGAGAAAGAAAGTAAGAGAGTAATAGAGAGAAAGAAAGAGAGAGAAAGAAAAAGAGAGAGAGAGAAAGTAGAGTAAGAGGAAGAGAAAGAAAGTAAGAGAGTAATAGAGAGAAAGAAAGAGAGAGAAAGAAAAAGAGAGAGAGAGAAAGTAGAGTAAGAGGAAGAGAAAGAAAGTAAGAGAGTAATAGAGAGAAAGAAAGAGAGAGAAAGAAAAAGAGAGAGAGAGAAAGTAGAGTAAGAGGAAGAGAAAGAAAGTAAGAGAGTAATAGAGAGAAAGAAAGAGAGAGTAGAATTAGAAAAAGTCAACAAAAGTAAAAATAAAAAAGAAACAGAGAATTATAATGATAATAATAAAATACGGCAACGAACGAACGTAAGAAGATGAAAGTGTAAGAAGATAAAATTTTGAAAAACAAATATAATAAACATGATGGAAAATAACCAAGGGATATCCATAGATAACAATGCCTGCAACGTTGTGTTTCACTATACATTAAAGTTGGTATGTTATACATACAAATATGTCATGAAATCAATAAAAATCTCATTCGCATATACAAACGCAACATTAAAACTATCACGACTGAGATACGTTACATTTGCAACACGTACACGCTCTGATAATTACTTACTTACATGCATTCACACGCTCGCACGCACGCACACACACACACAGTCAACACTCACACAGTCAACACACACACACACACACACAGACTCAAACTGTCACAAGGCCACACACAAGGACAACGCACCTCTCTGTGCATGCAGATTCTGAAAGATGGAAACGACAATGCAGACATTCATGAGTGAATTTTCATTTGGTTGTTTGAAAGAGAGTGACTCGTTGAACTTTGGATTCCTATCATCTTTGATCGTGTCCGTTCGCTTGCTTTTCACTATGCAGTGGTTCTTCATCAGCGCAACCTTTGCGTAAAAATCTGATGTTCGTTTTTTTTTTTATAAATTAAGCTAACATTATAGAGACGGAATGTATTGCGTGTGATCGATGACAATAAACATTGCAATCACCAGAGATAGTTCACACACAAAACGATAGTTTAAACAAATACCAACAAATACAAACAAATACCAATAAGTACAAACACAAACATGATGGGGCATACAAACTTGCATTCTTGGACTCAACAATCTTCTTGATGTTCCTACCCTCATACACGCCTACATTCAACCTTTCCGTGCCTGCATTGTAGGTCATTGAGATCAAAAGTTCACCCTTGTCCTCTGAACTGTTCTGAAGGTCAGTGTCGAGGTTAAGTATGATTTTATTTTGCCAATGACAAAGATTGATTATGCAAGCATAAGTATGCAAGTACAATCTAGCATAATTTGTATTTTTTGTTATGAATAAAATAAACAAGTGAAAAATAAGCTGAGAACATCAAAAATGATTTTTCAATTAACTTGATTTGATGGAATAATGGAAAACAAAAAAACCTGGACGACAACATCCATCCAACGTCATCCATAAATTTTATGAGTTGAAAGTATAAAAACGGTGATTCAATATTGCAAATAAAAGAAAGAATCAACAGAAACTAATCTACCAAAAAACTAAAACAAAGAAAGACACACTTGAACAACCAAATGCGGAAACAAAACACAAACAATTAGATCGAACAAATCAACTAACCAACCAACCAAACAGACAGACAAAAGACAGACAAAACAGTCAGACAGTCTGACAGGCAGGCAGACAGAGTGACAGACAGACAAACGAACAAACCTCAATACAATCATCGAGGTCCAAATCCCTGATGACGGTTATCTTCTTGCCACACTCTGCATTATCCGCCAAGACACCGGAAGTTTTCAGGGGGTAGATCACGTGACCGATGACGTTGTGACGTCGCAGACGATCTACGTCACATGCAGTTAGTTTGAGGATGCGTTCTTCAAAATCTTTCACTGGCACCTTTCGAATTACAACGGTGTCTTTATAAACAGCTGACTTATCACGCCTATGAATTGTTTTCACGTCACTTATCGAGTCCAAACTAGATTTCGCTCTCTACTTTTCAACGTTTTTGGCAGCTTGCCACGGAACATGTAGTGTAATGCAGTGTAGTATAGTATAGTATAGTATAGTATAGTATAGTATAGTATAGTATAGTATAGTATAGTATAGTATAGTATAGTGTAGTGTAGTGTAGTGTAGTGTAGTGTAGTGTAGTGTAGTATAGTGTAGTATAGTATAGTATAGTATAGTATAGTATAGTATAGTATAGTATAGTATAGTGTAGTGTAGTGTAGTGTAGTGTAGTGTAGTGTAGTGTAGTATAGTGTAGTATAGTATAGTATAGTATAGTATAGTATAGTATAGTATAGTATAGTATAGTGTAGTGTAGTGTAGTGTAGTGTAGTGTAGTGTAGTGTAGTATAGTATAGTATAGTATAGTATAGTATAGTATAGTATAGTATAGTATAGTATAGTGTAGTGTAGTGTAG